TATTTCAGAGTTGTTTTTTTTTTTTTTTTTTTGAATTTGTAGGTCTGATGAATTGGATCGTATTTACGATTCCAATGGAATAAATTATGACCATGGAATATTAGTGTTTAAGCCTTTTTATTATATCCTTACTCTGTTCTGGACATTGAGTTCTACCTGGATTCTATCCTCTTGGAAATTTTATTCAAAAAATATACATGTATGTGTATGCACCTATGTATATATTTACCACTAATATTAATTTTATATATATATATATATATATATATACACACACACTAGGCCACCCATGACGCATTGGGTCAACCTTGTTGTGTTTACTGTTTACATTTAGTTTCATGAAGAGTTTGTAAAAGTAGAGATATTTTAAAAATACATTTATTTGCAGTCATTGAAGTTGCTTTCAGCATTAAAAAAATTGTCTATTTGAAGAAAGTTGAAATAAAAATATTTAAAATATTGTTTGTTTAAAGAAAGCTGAAATATAAATAAGCACACACATGGGAAGGTGGAAAGAGAGTGAATTTTTTCTCCATTTCCTTCTCTCCCCTCACTTCCTACATGATAATAAATCCATATCTTTCTTTCCCCACATTCTATATATGACTTCTGGCAAAAACACAAGCAATGTTCACAGACTTTTATAGTAAAAATATATATATATATATATATACACATACAAGAGGGCCATTGAAAAACTAAAGGGTTTGAAAAAGTCATAACTGGTACATTCTCAATCTTTTTTATTTTCATTTTTTGCAGGTTATAGAGCATCCCTTGGAGATTAAAATGGTTATATATGGCAACATTTTAATGTCAGAGTATCTCCTAGCAATAACATTGCCCGGTTTGAAAGAACTGGATCAGTCAGTGATCTTCTGAGAAGTGATCCTCAGCCCACTGTGACACTGATGCAGTGGTGAAAGCTGTACAAAAGTGTCCTTGAGGATCCATCAGCTTCTACCTGTTGTCGTTCTTGAAGTAAAAGACAAAAGGAAAGTAACACGGCCGCTCATCTCAGTTTCTTGCTCACCCTGGCTGTCCTTAGAATCATTGTTAAGAACACCTTTCTCCCCAACTCATGGTGTCAATCTCATTCATTCTTTTATTCTCTTGCAAAGTACTCAATCCGGGTGTTTGACTTAAATTCACATATGCAAATCGCATCACCTTCTCAACATCCTGACTTGTCTATTGTGCATTCATTCTACTTGGACAAATCAACCTCAACTGGTAAATGTGAGATTCAGGTTTGAATCGCACCAAAATCAATTCTGCTTATAGCTACAAACAATGCATGTGGCCACGCAAATTCTTTTCACAGCAGGCAAACAACACTTCTCACGACAACTCCTTCGTTACAGTTCTGCTTAAGTAGACATCACCAGAACATCGCTTCAGAAGATTTTGAAACTGGATTTAAAAATGTTTCCATACAAGATTCAAATGGTCCAAACTTTACAACGCCAAGATACTCAGGTGTTTGTAAAAGTTATTTTTGTTTTATATCATTCAGTGGCCACCCTATATATATATATATATATATATATATAAATTGCAATAAAATTAGAGAATAGAAAGTAGAACCAAAGTTGCTTAAGTTCCAACCTGGAATCAAAGGATCATCAGGCCAGGTTTAAATTTAGTCCTATTTAACTTGTGGTGCCAGCCTTAAATATGGAGAGGTAACTTATTTACTTCCTCAGATTTAAGGCCTGATGATCCTTTGATTAAAGAGTGAAACTTAAGTAGCTCCTATTTTATTTTTATTTTATTCTGTACTTTTATTGGAATTTTGTAGGCTCTACTCTGTATTGACCAATTTTTATTACCAGTTTCACTGTAGTTACATCCAACCAATTACCACTGTTTGTGTGTGTGTATATATATATATATATATATATACACATCCATAAATGCCCATATACATTTTCTCTCTCTACATATATATATATATATATACACACACACACACATACATACACACACAGTGATGTTAAAATGGTTTAAATATTTGAGACTTAAATGTAACATATAGAATATTCTAAAAAAATACCCCCCTTTTTACAAGTGTGGGTGAGGGGGGAAATAATGATATTGGCACGATATTGATTGTGGCATGCAATTTGATAGGAGAAAAAAGAATTTGAAATAAAATCATAAGAACAAAAAATAACAAACAAAACTTAACGAGTAATAAAACGTATAACTTATAAAAATAACATTTCTCTTTTTCTTATACATGACTGACTACATATATTCCCCAAGAGAACACCATTACATATTTTTTGTTTGAATCCAGTGGCATGTCATGAAAAAAAGAACAAAAAAAAAATCCTCTTGCATCTTCTTTGTTAATGTCTTTAGTATAAAAAATAAAGACATCTTTTTATCAATAATTACCATAAATATAGCAAACAGTTTTTCACTAGGACTCATTTTCATTTTTCAATTACTTTTTTATCACAACTTTAGTGAAGGCATCAATCTGTGGCAATGAGTAAGACAGTGCAAAATTAGAAATATCTCACTGAGTGTGTAATTCTTTATTTCCAATCCTACTGTGTCAACTCACTGCTGTTGATTGACAGAGTAAAAAATGAAGCTGAAAGTAAATCATCATCTTAAATTAATAATAATGGCTGACAAATGTTTCAGCTGATAAAAAAAAAAAATTATGAAAATAATTCTTATAAAAATTAATGATAATAGCTGACAATTCTTGAAAGTAAATATGAGATAAAATTTAATAATAATTGACAATGCTTCATCTAATAAAAAATGAAGATGAAAGTAAATCCTAGTCAAAATTGAATAATAATGGTTGGAAATTATCCATCTAATAAAAATGAAGATGAAAGTAAATACTAGTCAAAAATTAATAATAATGTCTGACAAGGCTTCATCTAATAAAAAATGAAGATGAAAGTAAATACTAGTCAAAAATGAATAACAGTTAAATGTTTCATCTAATAACAAACAAAGATAATGCAACTGTAAAATTTGTGATGCTGTACATATAAAAAATAGATTAATAAATTCATAAATAACTTTGTTTATTTTTATCCTTTTAAATAAAAATCCCATAAATCTTTAAAATAAATACTAAAAACAAATGTAGTTTGAAAAAATGAATTTTAAACCTATTTACCATGTTGTTTCTTGTGAAAATTTAGAAAACAAAAACAACCCTTAATCTGAATTAATTCAATAAATACTCAAGAGGAATATATTTTGCAAGGATATAAAAAAGGATTTTACAAATATGAGAAAACATGTATGTTTTCTTCACAAAGTAATGAATATTATAGACATAAAAATATTTCTGCAGGATCATTTTAAAAGCAGAATTATTTTGCACCACAGTTAATAAATCTTTGAATTAAATAATTTTCTTATTTTAGCATGATGCTAAATAAAACAAAAGAATATTAAATAACCAAAAACTATAGCAGTATTATTTGGAAAAATATTTCCAGATAAGCAATTCTTATCAGGCTAGATTTTTAAGAAATACACACCATTGAATGTGTCTCAAATGAATCAAAAGTTATTGAATATAAACAATTACTTGGAAAAAATAAGGAAATAGATTTTTTGGAGGTCAATGAAAACAGAAAAACCAACAAATTATGAAAATATCTGTTAAAATGATTAAGAGCAGCATTTTTATATTTTAAATATTGGTTTATCATAAAAGTTTTCTTAAATATTGCTCCAAAAATGTTATGCATAGATTTTCCATTTTATTGATGATGCTGGTGTATAGATTTTCCTTCAATGACACTAACAAAATTCTTAACAGTAGTATATTTTTTTAATATACTTGGTACAACAGAAATACTTCCCACATAATGGTAAGACATTAGTAGCAATGGTGTCTTCATCTAGCTAATGTCTTACCATTATGTGGGGGGAGGGGGTATTTCTGCTGCACCCTGCAGAATCACAGCATGATAATTTATAGTAATATTTCTTCTTTTTATTTTTTTAACCCCACCCTGAAAATGGTGGTGTAATTTTTTTGAGTCAGCTAAATTTAATAAAACGACCAGGATTTTACACAACAGATATTTAGGAAATTTTCTGAAAACTGTTCCACTATTTTCTTGTGCCTAAGAAGCATACTTCTGTCATTGAATTTCCCATCCATCTCTTTTTTTTAAGCGATGAACTTTGACCAGAAAGAGACATCCATGTCAGGCAGAAATTTAAATCCCCGAAAGAAGCTTCAGCACAATTAGATAAGAAGAAAAGTTAGAAAAAAAATGTTCCTGTTGTCAATAATTCCTTCTTGGAAATGGGTTGTTTATATATTTGAAAGTTGATAACAACCATCCTCTACCTCTAGAAAAATAAATAAATAAATAAAAAAAACAGCCATCAAAATTGCTTCCAGGTAAAATCCTTCGAAAATTGTTCTCAAAAAGAAAGAATTTGCATATGTAAAAGAAAAAATGTTTTGGCAATTGATTTTGGATGTTCTTTCAGACTTCTGTCTGAATATTTGAGATGAGGAATTATTATTATTATTATATGCTGATTTACTATTGTCCTCATCTTGGTTGTTACAGTCATATTTGACCACTGTACATTCCGACCTTTTTCATAGTGACTACCCTTCTGGGAATTTAAAACTGGACTCTTTATTCAATCCTTTCATGAGGTAGTGCAAAAGAGGAGCCATATAGAGTCTAGTTCAATAGGAAAGACAATTTACATAAGAACAAATTAACTCAGAAGAATTGACTGATACAAGTTATCTCCCCTTGCATGGATTTCAGAATGAGAATAATATCCTCCTATGGATTGAATAAAGGGTTCAGTTGAAAATTTCCAGAAAGGCTACCAATTTTGTTCAGATTTTTTTTTAAATTATTTTGGATCAAATACAGGAGAAGGTAGGAATGGTTGCTGGTGTCTCTTGAAGGCTGAATTTCACACAAAAGGTGCAGAAGGGGTAGTAGAGGCAGTGAGGAATTAGCACAATGTATTCATACCTTGGCTTGCGTGATAATGTGAGGCACCAATCCCATGGGGTCGAGTAAACTTGGCTCTGTTTGGACTATACAAGCTGGAACTGCCTAAACCAGTTGAACTCATGATGTCTGGCTGTAGTGGAGGTGGACCTGACATCAAAGAAGGCAGAGGAGGTAGTGGCGGTAGAGGGGGATGCTGCATTCCAGGTGTTGTACCTGGGGAAGAAAATATGTATGAGATTAATAAGACTTTTACATTCACAAAACAAGTTGCTGAAGATATAGATAAATCAATCTGATGATAAAATGCATCTATTTTGTACGTTACACAATGTTTCCTTCTTTGTTAATGCACTTAATTCAGTGGTGAATATTAATCACATAAGACAAATATTATGCAGTGATTATTTTGGATCAAAATAATGCAGAACCAGGAAATCAATTTGCTATTGTTCATTGATGTATACAGTCACTGGGACAGTCAGAAATCATCACCAGACATGACCTAAGAAGCAAACTCCCAAGAGACCAGTCAAGCCAACCAAACAAGCCAGCACCAACTGATAATTCATCATCTGGATGTGTGTCTGTGCCAAACAGACAGAAATGATTTTAATATTATAAAGATGAACCTATCTTTTACCACTAAAACTGGTAGTAATTAATTAGGCTATTGTTTGGCAATTCCTAGCTCTCCAGTAAATGTTGCCTAGTTCATACATTGATATTCAAACTGCTCAAAAACAATATATCTTTTTAATCATTTCACTCCAAGCAAGGTGATAAAGCCACTAAGACAAAAGGGGTTACTGAGTGTGAAAAAATATAAAAAGAAAAACATTATTAAGGAGAGAGAGAACAATAAATGAACAGAAATGAACAAAACAGAAGATGACAATTGACATTGCATTTAAATTTTTGAAGATCAAAGTTGACAGGAAAGCAAAAAGCTGGAAGAGTGTTTTGCAAGCAAGAAGTGCAAGAGAAGAAACTGTTAGCATAGAACTTACAGTTGCATCTAGCCATATCAACTATAACATGATGTGATCTAGTTACCAATCTAGTATGGCGCTTAAATTCATAAAATCTAGATACCAAAGAGGAAAGCTCATCCAAACAATTAACATAAAAATATTTATAGAAAAGGCAGAGGAAAGTTACATTATGGTGGTGGGAAAGTGACTGAAGGTGAGATGCCAGGACAGAACTGATAATATTGCAGATTCTTCTTTGGAGTTCATCAAGAATCTTTAAATATATAACAGAAGTACCAGATCAAATATGGCAGCAATATTCAATGCATGGAGGAATTGTAGATTTATAAATGTCTAAGATAGATTCTGGCAAGAAGAATTGTCTAGCATGATACAGTGAACTAACAGACCTAGCAACTAACATTAACAGGAGATTGTTGATAGTTACTGAAGTATTTAGTAAAAGAATGTTCATCAATAATGGCTTTATTTTGCCAATAGAAGGAATAATGCCACAACCTTACATCATTACTGCAATGATATTTCAGTTACTGTTTGCTGCTACTTTTAAAAATCAGAACATTTAGAAATCATCACTAGGTGTGATTTAAACGAACTAAAAAAAGCAACCCCAACTCAGTGATCACTAATAAAATGTTGTAAACTACAGCAAGGTATTAAGGTTGGGGAAAACACCTAAATGATAACTCTCCCAGCTTCTAAGTGGGTGAAAGACAGAGAAAGGAGACGAGAGGTAACAAAATGACACTACCTCAGAAGGCACAACAACTTTAGGATAAAAAAATGCTCATGGGACAAATTTCACAAGACACCAAGTCTTGTCCACTGCTGGTTTTCCTGTCACTTTTATTGACAAGAGACACTGACAAAAAACCTGGATCAAGACAAATTGCAGAGAGGCCCATATCTGAACATGTCAAGCTGTCCTGCTGATAATGAGGAAAAACTGGATGTAACTGGTTTTGACACACATCCACACGTGATCTGAGGGCCTCTTTTGCATCTGTACTGATGCACGTTCACTATATAAAACCATTTAAAGAAGTTCCTTCTGGGAACAAAATGCAATACTAAAGAATTCCCTACCTTGGATTTTGTCATTCAATTACCCACTATTAATCTGGTGTATACAATTGTATATCATAACTTCCAATTCAACATTTGTTATATATCATTTCACCCCAAGCAAGGCAATAATACCACTAGGACATGGAGTGGGGTTACAAGTAATGAAATGGTCAAAATAACAGGGATTGTGAAGGTAGAAAATGGCAATTGACATTGCATTTAAACTTTTGAAGATTGTAGACAGCAAGGAAGCAAGAAATCGGAAGTGAGTTTCACAGGCAAGAAGTGCAAGAAAAGAAACTATTAGAATAGAACTGATGGTTACATCTAGCTAGTTCAGCAGTAAAATGGTGAGATCTAGTTGCCAATGTAGTAGTATGCTTAAATTCATGCAGTTGCAGCATTGAGAAGAAAAGCTCATTAGAACAATTACTATGAAAATAGTTGTAGAAAAGACAGAGGGAAGACACGTTACATTGTTGGGAAAGTGACTGAAGTCAAGATGCCAGGTCAGGATCAATAATATTGCTGATTCTTCTTTGAATTTCATTAAGAATCTCAAGATATATATTAGGAGAACCAGACCAGAGATGGTAGCAATATTCAATTCAAGGAGGAGTGGTAGATTTATAAATGTACAAGATTAATTCTGATGAGATGAATGCAGCAAACCAACTTTCCCAGAGGCAGACTTAGTAATTGATTCAATATAATCACTCCACTTCATGTCAGTGGAAAACATGAGTCCAAAAAGGCACAATGAGTTACTCTCCTGGAGTTTAGCAACAGCTAAGCCGATGACAGACAGAAAAGATTCTCTATAGTGATTAAATAAAGGCAGTTTTGTTTTGGAGGCATTAAAATTTAAAAGCCATTCCTTATGCAACTGGTACATATATCAGGTCATCCCATAAGTTCTGTCCGAATTTTAACTTTTTGTTAAAATGAACGAAATTTAAAGAGTATTTTATAATGGAGCTGAACATTATTTTTATGTTTAGATGCATTTAAACTGATCAAATTTTATTTCAGAGAACAATAAAATTAAATTTTGTTTGATTAAAACCCTGTTAACATGGAAGTACCCAAGAATCATTTGAGGCACATAATGCTTTATGAGTTCAAGAAAGGAAACTCAGCAGCCGAAGCGGCTAGAAACATTCACTCAGTTTATGGAGAGGAATGCATGAATGAAAGAACTTGCAGAAGATGGTTTGCAAAATTCAGAGGTGGAGATTTCACCCTTGAAGATAAAAATCGAACCGGATGTCCAGTTGAGTTTGATGAAAAGCTTCTTGAAGCAGCCCTTGAAGAAAATCCTGCTTTATCAGGTGAGGAATTGGCAGTGGTTCTTAGTTCAAACTATACAATTTTCATTGTCATCTTCAACAACTTGAAAAAGTTCCTAAACTTGGAAAATGGGTATCTCATGAATTGTCTGAAAACAACCTCAAATCCTGAGTTGACATCTGCTCTTCTCTCCATTCTCACCAACTTGTTTCACCTTTTTTGGATAGACTTGTGACGAAAATTGGATCTTTTATGGAAATGTTAAGCATCATAGACAGTGGCTTGGTAAAGGGGAAGGACCCCAGCCACAGCCAAGTAGGGATCTTCATGGGCAAAAGGTTCTTCTTTCAATCTGGTGGGATCGTCAAGGAATAATCCACTTTGAATTCTTACCACCTAATGCAACAATTAATGCTCAAATATACTGTTAACAATTAGAGCATTTGAACCAAGCTTTGAGGAAAAAAAAGACCTGCTCTAGTGAATCAAAAAGAGGTGATGCTTCATCAGGACAATGCGTGACCCCACACAGCAAAAATCACGTCACAAAAGATCGAAGAACTTGGTTGAGAGAAAATTCCTCATCCACCTTATTCTTCCAATCTTACTCATTCAGACTACCATTTGTTTTGTAGCTTACAAAATCATTTGGAAGAAACAGCTTTTGTAACACAGGAAGAGATTAAAACTGACATTTGTGAGTTCTTCGAATCAAAGCCAAAAGAATTTTACAGTAATGAAATTAGTAAGCTTGCTAATAGATGGAAGGAAGTCATAGATAATCAGGGAAAATACATTGTTGATTGAATCTGTAATTAAATGTAACATTTGGTCACTTGTTTTCTTTATTTAAAATTCGAACAGAACTTATGGGATGACCTGATAAAAGCCAGTGTTCATTGTTTTGTAATACAGAAAATATGTCTTACATTTCTTCACACATGAGTGATGAAAATCAACTTAAATTTATGAGCCTTTCATGGAATACTTAAAGTATGGATGACCAAAAATGACAAAACTTGGTATTACCCAAAAACATGTTCCTAACATCAACACACTGTCATATAATGGGCAACACTGTAGTTGTATAATAATAACAATAATAATAATAATAATAATAACTGACCATTTTTTTTTATCAGGTTGCACAATGTTAGCATGCACTGAAGATAAAATTCAGCATGATAGAGTAGGCCAATATCTGCATTTGGGTAATATGCAACTTTTACGGGGAGGAAACTGCAAGAAACTGATATGAACATCACCCAGACCTGGTTACAGAGATAGGACCTATAACAATTTTATGGGACGTTACAATACACAGACAGAACAATCAAAGCTAATCGCCCTGACATTGTGATCAAAGACTACAAGAACAGAATGTGTATTCTTATTGACATGGCAGTCCCTGCAGATAGTAATTTATCTTTGAAGATCTTATAAAAAAACTAAAAAATAAAATACAAAGACCTTGAAGTGGAATTTTGAATCTACAAATGTGGCACCTGAGGACATCAATAATTCCAGTTTTAGTTGGAGCGAACAATTTGATTGGAAAAGGTTCCAATAGAAGGGATTTGTGATAGCAAATGCCTTAAAGAAATACAAAAAGTTGTATTTACAAGTCCAGCTCACACATCAGATTTATCTATGTAAAATGTGTTTGATCGTTGTTTGTTTGTTTTTTTTTTTTGTTTTTTTTTTTTTTTTTTTTTAACAAGAATGATCAGTGAAAAATGTCATGAAGCCATTTCTGACTTTGGGTTTCTGGTTGGAACCTGAAAGTAAATGAGTATATAACAGAAATCAAAAGAAATAATAATAATATCTAATGTTTATATAAGGGAGTGTTGAAAAGCTCTTGGATTGACTCACATCAACCAAATTTAACTAAGTGATTAAAGATAAGAATTATTTCTTTTTTATATCTTTCTTGGTAAGTGGGAGAACTTTTCATTAATTCCTCATATATATATATATATATATATATATATATATATATAATATATTTTCTGTTTATACATTATTTTTATAGATAGGATTTAAGTAAATGCTCTGTTTTTAACTAAATAGTATTAATTACATTTACCGGCCTGAATGTTTGAGAAATTTTTAGAAAATATGCATTCTCCAACTGGAATTGAACCTCTCTTCCTACACAGAAGCCATCATTTGATCTGATGTGCTATACCTTTTAGCTACAGAGAAGTGCCTGGTTAGCAAAGTCCAAATTACTATTTATAAACACACAATCTTCAATGATTTTTCTCGATTGATCATTTCTGCTTGCAAAACATATCTTAACAAAGAATTACAACATATAATGAAATGGATTAAGTTCAACAATTATTTTATTTTTATACATATACATATATATATATATATATATATATATATATATATATATATATAAGTTAGACATTGGCTAAATAGCTGCAGAAAAAAGCATGATAAAATTATAGCTTCTGATAAACTGAAATCATGCATCTCAGGAACCAACATTTCATGGACATCACTTCAATCAGTTCAGCCATGGAATCATCAATTATTATTTCTATTACCATGATACTTGCTCTAAAAACTGAAGAATACAGTCATCCACATTGTGATAAAAAGCAACAATAATAAGATGAGTAAAATTACTAACAAAATAATAATAGTGAAAATGCTTCATCTAAAAAGTAACAATAATAAGATGGATTAAAACTAGTAATAAAATAATAATAGTGAAAATACTTCATCTAAAAAGCAACAATAGTAAGATGGAATAAAACTAGTAATAAAATAATAATAGTGAAAATGCTTCATCTAAAAAGCAACAATAATAAGATGGAATAAAACTAGTAATAAAATAATAATAGTGAAAATGCTTCATCTAAAAAGCAACAATAATAAGATGGAATAAAACTAGTAATAAAATAATAATAGTGAAAATGCTTCATCTAAAAAGCAACAATAATAAGATGGAATAAAACTAGTAATAAAATAATAATAGTGAAAATGCTTCATCTAAAAAGCAACAATAACAAGATGTAGTAAAACAACAACTATTAATACAATATTAATAGTAAAAATGATTTATCTTAACAGAAAAAGTGATGAGATAAACTTTAAAAAAAATGAGAAATGGTTAAATTGCTTCATGTAACAGAATTCTTAAAACTGATTAAATCATAAAAAAAAATTCACAGACCCGAGGAAATGTTCTTGTGTTTTTCCTTTTGGCACATTTGTCTTGCTTGTTCTTTGGCTTCTTCTGCAAGAAGAAAAGAGCAATTTCCTTGGCAAACATTTGTCCAAATAGAAAATAAATTATAAGCAGCAAACAAATGAAGATTGAAAATACTATGTGAGATTAACACTGTATTCCTTGATGTTGCAAAAAAAAAAAAAAAAAAAAAATTTATATGACTTTTAACATTTTTTTTTATGATGCTAAAAAAGAAAAAATATTTTCAGGCCCCAAATATACTTCTAAATATTATCATTATCATCATCAGACCCTCAACAGCTTCACTCATTGAAGGGGGAACCCAAAGTCAGAAGAAAAAGACTTTGATTCATCTTTCTTATAATCCTTTCGGTGGCCTTTGCGATAGTGGTTCCTATTTCTTCTCTAGGCTGTTGACTAACAGCCAAAGACCACAGAATATAGCCCAAATTCCCCTTGGTCTGTACACAAGGTCCTCAGGTTAGAGTTTTCCTTCTCTTAGACAGATTACCACTCAAGGCTATAGAGCACAGTCTATCCTGCTATTTTACCCATAGGTTAGGGGAGAAGAGATAGATTCATACCTTTCACAAGGGTATTAGTATGTAAGTGAATGTAATGGACTTGACTGGAATTTGAACTCGGTTCTCCAATTCCTCAATCCAAGCCACTATCCATTACTCTACCATACCTCTATATATCTAAATATATGAATCAGTAAATCTGTTCAAAACATTTATCAACTGATGATATAGTCTGAAAAAATGCCTGTCTCAAAAAAATCTATTCAATTTGAGAAATGCTCCCAGAAGATGCAGCAAATGCCAAAAAAGTCCTTCGTTCTTTCAAAACACTTTCAAGACCATTTTAATTCTTAGATGACAGGGCTGATATATTGGCTAAATTGACAGAGACGACATTGGGCTGAACCATCGGCCCAATAATATGAGCCTCAAGATTAGCTGGTTGGTCTTCGGAGCAGCCAATCAGATTGCTTATCACATTTCTAGCACATCTGGGCCTTTCAATGGCAGTTTCTATGATAGTTTGCTGTGTTCTGTGATTTTACATCAATTTTTTTTGTGTTCCAAGTGAGGGCTTGTGAAAAGTGTTCCATCTTGATGCTGCAACTCCAAATGAGGCTCCATTTCCAAAGGGTTAATCAATGCACTTACCAACTTTCTTGCTTTTTGGCATTTCCCATTTGGGACCTTCATCTATATCCTCATCTTCGTCAGAGGAATGGCTTGAAGCAAGTTCCAGGCTGGCATGATCCACAGACTCGTCACTGTCAGAGTCAGAGTCAGGTTTAATTTTATTGGTCTTCTCCCCTGTGTCAGGATCTGCCAGAGAGAAGAAAATCATAAGAAAGGGAGCAACTGTTAAAGACAGTGAATAAGAATCAAGGTGGTATGAAGTAACATGATAATAATAATAATAATAATAACTGCTTTAAGATTTGATGTGTTTTAGCTATATGCTAACTGACAAATTAAAACATTAATTTTTATGGCTTATCAACCCTTTTGTAGATTATATAAAACCCAAACATATATTATTGGATTACTAAAGGAAAATGTACCTCTTGACAGGAATCAATTCTAAATTCCCTTTTTTCATCAGGAAACCACACCTTTACTAGTAAGGTTACAGCAAACCATGATGAAAAAGCTATATATATATATATATATATATATACTGCACATTAAGTGCTGATGTCAATAAAATAGTGCTAGATGTAAAATAACAGAGATATCAATTATATATTAATAATAAATATACATTTTTTTCCTCATTGGTAGCACGACTGTGTCTCCTGCACAATTCAATTTTCAGGTGCTAAGTTAAGACTTAACTTAGCACCTGAAGATTACACTGTGCATGAAACTCAGAGTTGTGCTACCAGTGAAGAAAAAAATGTATATTTATTATTATTATTATTATATATATATATATATATATATATCAGGCAGTTTGTTTCATGCTTAAATGCAACCTTCAGACCATGTGTGTTGTGTTTGGCTTGACTATTTATATACGCTGGACAATGGTGCATTATGGGCAGAAGGTCTATTGTCACTGCTGGGTGTTGACCTCAATGTCCAATTCTATATTTATATTTACATATGCTCTATCCCTGATATTGAACACTTTAACCCATAAATAAATACAGTATACCTTGAAATTATATTTCAATTATATATATATATATATATATATATATATATATAATATCACACACAGATTGATGGGAAATAAAATTGCAGCATACTGAATATATATTTCAGTTCACTCAAGATTAAATGTAAAGTTAAAATAGTTGGATTACAGTAAATGATCATATATACAGATCAATACTTGAGCAAGTTCCAAGATAGGAGGTCCTATCAGTATTACTAAGACCACATACAGTATATCCTCCTTGGGCATAAACACAGGCCTGTATGCTTGCATATATAAAATCATAAAGATGATGCATACTATCCTATGATCCATGTCCTTAATTGTAGTTAGGTTAACTGAATGTGTCAGGCTTCATTCCTTTCAGCAAATAAAAAAAAAGAATGGACTGAAGATGGTCAGAAGATAGGTGACTGAAACATTGTGTCTATGAAAAGATCTATAACAATCAAGACGAAAATGAATTAAAGTATATCATCCCTTTATATCCCATATGTGTTCAATGGAGGACAGTTCTGGCAATCATGCAAAATAAGGAAATTGTCGAATATCTTGCAGAGCATGCTGAATAGCACAGTCCACATGTGGGAAGGTATTATACAGCTAGAACAGCAGATCATCTTCCTGGCAGCAGAACATGTTGAATATTCCCTCCACAAACATGAAAGGCAAATGAAAGTTGTAACTTATGGCATGCACCCACCTCATGACACCAGGAGTTGGGTTTGTGTCTTGGGAAAATATACTCAGGAAGATATTGCTCCATATTTCCATATAATACATGAAAATGGCCAGAATTTTCTTGAAAACAGAAAATGCTTTTGTGAATCATTGCATTGTAGAATATCATTGAAGTGCTTCTTTTAAAATTCCCTAATTTAGTGCCACCAATAAACAAATAAGACTTGGGCAAAATTTCCTCCAGATAAAAGCTCTGGAAGGAACCAGATAAATTGTTTGTTTTTTTTTTTTTTTTTTTTAAAAAAGTAAAAGTAAAAAGAAATAGCAACAAAGATTAAAATAGTCCAAAAGATTGTGACAGATTTCTTTTTGATTTCTTAATAACAAAGGGAGATAATTCAATTACATAATTCTCAAGTCAGTACAATTTATTCAAGGAAGAAGTAATATAAGTAATATCTTTACAGTTTCTTTAAAATAAATTCTAGCAACTTTTCTGAAAATCATTCTCATGATTAATTAACAAAACATTTAAAAATTAAATCCAAGTTACTGTCTTTGATGGCATAGTAGTGTAAAGTTTAAATCAAAGATCAATATACAAAAATCTATATTATAACCATTTGCAACTCAAGAATAATCTGATTGTATTTTAACATTTTTTTTCACCATGGACCATATTGCAAATATACCTTTCTTTTTCTTATTAAGTGTCAATAGTCTTTTCAAGATTACTGAAAACCAAAAATGAAAATATAAGGTATTTATGAAATAAGAAAAAATACAAAATAATATGTGAAAGTAGTGGAATTCTGAAGGAAAAAATATTTTGGGAAGCATGGACAAATATGCCATAATAAAGCCGTGTATAAAAGAGTTGTTGTTTTTTGTTTTTTTTAACTACCTTTACTCTTTGGCAATGTTTATTGTTGCCAATTGATTCAAACTTTATAAAATGGTAAATAATAAGGATTTCCTTATAGTTGGTTCACATATTTTAATAATTTAGTAAATGTTTGTAAATTTATGAATAAAAAATCGTTTTCACATTTATTTGTTGGTTATTGGAATTTATTCCATATACACCAATCCTATACTTGGGTGTGTGTGTGTGTGTGTGTGTGTGTATATATATATATATATATATATATATATATATATATATGCACATGTCTTTTACCTAACATAATTTAATGATGGGTTAGCATCATCAGTAAAAAATGATTTCACAATAACAAAATCTTTATTATCAAGACAAAACAAGATATTCAGATTCATTTTTGATAAAATCCAAAGAAGAATCAGCAATATTATTGGTCCTGATCTAGCAGTTTGGTTTCCTACGACCCTAAGGTTGCCTCTATTCCATTTTTATAAATACTTTCATGGTAATTGTTTAGATGAGTTCATCACTATGGTACCTAGACTTTTTGAATTTAAATGAAATACTAGACTGGTGTCGAATTCTCATCAATTTACAGTTGAACTGGCTATAGATGTAACCATAAGTTCTATGCTAGCAGTTCCTTTTTTCACACTTCTCGCTTGTGGAGCTCCCTTCAGGCTCCATGTTTTCCAGCCAACTTTAATCTGCAAAAATTGAAATGCAATGTCAATCACTATCTACTGTCCTTCTGATTACTTTTTTCTCTTCCCACTCATTATTAATGTTTCTGTTCATAATTCTTCTACACTCTATAACCCCTTGCATCTTAGTAGCTTTACTGTCTTGCATGGGGTGATACCAATTAAGAAAAAGATATCCAAACACTTCCTATCTGAACTCTAAACTGCTAAAGAATGAGATATATTTTAACCATGTTTTAATTTAGTTCTTTATCTTATCATTCCATCAGATTCCAATCCATATTTGATTTATATTTGATCCCAACAAGACTTATTATACAAAGTCTGGTGACCTCCACTATATATTTTTTTAAATACAAATCTTTACTGCATTTTCAAATTCATTGATGTTTTTTGAACATTTTCATAAAGAATGTTAGTGTTGAAGATTTTTGTGTGTTCAGCAAAGCTTGAAAAGATTTTAAGTAACATCACGTATTATCACCTCATTTCATTTGCAATATAAGGGTGCAAAATTGTGCAAATAAAAAACAGGGAAGCTTATAAATAAGCAATGAAAAGCACCAACACCGCAGCCATGACCGTAAACAACAACAACAGCAGTATATATTCTATAGAAAGCATACGATATAGACATGCAGAGTCCAACATTACAAAAAGTGGTTGCTTTATAGCATGAATTTGTCATCAAGCAATGCATTGCAAGGATGCAGGTGATCAAGATAGTGAAGATGAGTCAGGAGACAGATAAGAGGGGGAGGCAATGGTAGTCCAATGTTTTGATTTATGGAGAAGGATTTTTGATATGAACTTAACATTTGTTCAAATAAACTATTTAAGGAAATAAAACTAACATGTTTTTATATTACCCAAAACTAAAAACAAATTTATTTTGCTCTCTTTCTCTTGATGTCTATATCAAAAACATTGCCACAATTTTAATTAACAATTAATAATTCAGCTCCTAGAATTGGATATATACCTTGCACATATGATTTGATTATAGCAGTGAACACTTATACAGAACTAGTCACATTATTTGGAAGAAGTGATGACAGAGGTGCCACAAACTTCACAAAATAATTCCTTTTTTAATTCAGAGTTGTCCTCCCAGGCTGGATGCCAAGTAAGGCTAAAGAGCACAGTCTACCCTACTTTTTACACCATATGCGCAGGGAGAAGAGACAGATCAAAACCTTTCCAAAAGGTATTTGTGTGAAAGTAAATGATAAACACAACTGGAATTCCAATTCTATTCACTAATTCCTTGTTCCAAGCTGCATGTGTGTGCATGTGTGTACCACTGCTGCTGCTCACACACACACACACACATATATATACGTGCCATGGGTAAATTGTCACCATTTTATATTTTTAATTTCATTGAAGCATGTTGTTTGTTTTTGATTTTGCTGACTGCACAGTATAGTAGGATCTGTGAGAAAACATGTACCATGATGCAATTAACTCCACCAGAAATTTGGAAATGGCATACTGTACTGCTTGTCATTTACACCGGAAGCTTCAATACGAACATCTCAGAATGTTTGAGTTTCAATCTGTGGACAGTGCAGAGGATTTGGAAATAGCTGAATATGTTTAATGGTAATTACGAAGGTGTTTGGAGTGATCACTAGTTATGGTGATGTTATGCCTCTATTCATTTTTCCATAGGGCCTCAAACTCAACATGGAGTCCCAAATTAAGTGCCTTGAGGAGGTAGTGCCACCCTGGGTCACCCTGGCAACAGGACTCTGTACCATGCCGCACAAGCAAGTGAATCCAGTAATGGCTGTTAGACAATTTCGCTGACCACATCACTCCTTACATCTGGCCACATAACACGCCAGACTGTAACCCCTTAATTATTAAGAGTGGGGTGCAGTTGAGCTAA